TATGATACTGCATCAATAAAACATTAGTTCTGGTTTTCACCCTCATGCCAGGATTTCTGTGTACATCCAGGCTAATTGGCTACAGTTTTCACTTCAAAGGGTCTCCAGTTTTTAACTTCCTAACTTGTATTTCCAGTGGGGGGAGAAATACAAAGGAGGACGGGTTTAAGAACAACGTTGGTATGCATGGTGCCATAGGATAGTTGGATGCAGAGGGCTGCTTTGGTAACCACTAGCCCCGCCTGTCACCCAGCTTCTAATGAAACTTGTCAGCAACTGCAGACTTCTTCCCTAATTTCTGAGGTGTTTTCAGAAAATGGTGCGTCTCAGGTACTTTCTTCCGTCAAAGAGTAAAAGGCGGGAACTTCTGAAAATACGCAATCCTGGAGCCACGTCTCCATCCCAAGTTCCTCTAAGACTAGAGAAGGTCCTTGCAGAGTCAGATAAGCTATGGATTGGGCGGAGGTAGCCACCGTGCGCTTTTGCCGATTACAAACAAAGCTTATTTTAACCAAATTCTTCAGCGTATTGGTAGTAGAGCTTGCAGACGCCATAGCATAGCCCAACTTCTCCAGGGGTGTTGCACCACTAACCTCTGTGCAAGGCCATCTGGTCCCCAGGGCAGTGTGTCTGGACAGCCAGATTGCTCAAGTCTGGAATGCTTTTATATTTCACACTTACCCCATCTGGAGTCTGACCCGTCAATGATCAGTTAAAGAGGCTGATTCAGCTCTGGCTCCATCTGAGGGTTTTGTGCCAAACAGGATTCAGCTCTTCCCTAAACTGACTTTTAGTTACTTAGTTCATCTCCTTGCCTGGGGATGATCGAGGACAAAACCTGATGTGTACAAATCCCCGGACCTCTCTGCCCAAATCGAATCAGTTCATCCATGTTCCAAAGTGGACAGTCTCTTTGATTCAGACTTTCCCCTTTCTCATACCCACAAACCTGGAAGGCGAATCAAAATGAGACAGATGCCTTGGCGTTTAACATTTGATATAACATCTGATATAGAAGGTGGTGTATTTTACTAATGAGTTAATGTGGGTTAGAGTTTTGTTAACCATCAGGAAAGCCCTCAGGAGAATTCTAAGGCAGAATTTGAACTAAAACAGATCATCTTATTAATATGTTAATCTTGCCTAATGGATTGAATCCCGGTTCATCTGATGACCTCTGTCTGCTCCTCCGTCCTAGAAATTGGATGTTGCGTTAAATGCCTGTGTAATATGAGTCAAGATATCAATAAGAGAAATGACAGAATGGGCATTTTGCTGGCTACAGGTTCTTAGAACCCTCCTGCCAAGGCTGCTATTGCAATAACAGTCACATATTTCAATCATAAAAGATGAAATAGATTTTTGAAAGAAGTGAACACCTTATGTCTGTCAGTAGTTGCAAAAATAATCGTTAAAATGCATTAAACCTGCCTTAAATTTTTTCCTGACAATGGTGTTTCCTTTCTTCCCATCTTTTCCTTTTTAATTTTTATTTTGTAACCAAATATAGTTTGGAATCCAGTGTGTATGAAATGTGAAAAAAATCATTTAAAAGGAGTGTTCTTTCAACCAAATATATGCTACTCTAAATTACTAATTAATTTACTGTCCCCAACCTAAACCAGAATCTTTCAACATTTTACTCACCCACGTACAGCTGGCTATAGCCTCAGCATCCTCTGCTGGTCCACACGAAGCCACAATGCTCATGAGAAAGGGAAGGACATACGTCATGAGGTCCTGCCACCCATAGCTCTTCTCCTTGCCCCTGACCTCTGTCCGTGTTGTGGGCTGTCACTACAGGACCCCTGCTGCCAAGGCAGCTGGGGACCAGGCAGGGGAACTGGGTCTGAGGGCCTGAGAGGGAGGTCCTGGTACACGCTGGCAGGAGCGTTCATGCTTTGGACCAGCACGTGGCCTTCAGGAAGCCCCATCTGCTCCCTCCGGACTCCTGGGGTCCCTGCTGCACCTCCCGTCCCTGGAAAACCAGACACTTGTCTCCACCGTCTCAGCGGGGCTCCACTTTCCTCTTTCTGCCCTGAAGCTTAGGGTTGTCCTTCCTCCACCAACTCAGAAAATGCCCAACATGTGTTTAGTCATGTATGTTTTCAATAAAGGCTAAAGATGGATAGTGCTGTAATACCCACTATAGAACATTTTAAAAATTAATAAATCACCGCTAGGTCTGCCATTCGAGACATTTCCAGGTCCTCTTCTCGGGCTGACTGTACTGTCTAGGTCTTCTGGATGCGTAATTGGGGTTATTGATACAGAATTTATAAATTGATTTCTATTAACTTGACAGTTTCTCTAAATTAATCCGTCCTAGGATGGATGCTGTTTAATTAATTGTGTCTTTAGTGTAGGGTATTTGTTATTTCTTTCTGTTGTTTTACTATAATTAAGATAACAATGAACATCGTTATTCATGTCTTTAATTGCATTTCTGATAATTGCCTTAGTATAGGTTCCTGCTTATGGAAGTCCTGGTGCAAATGATATGAATATTTCAAAGCTTTGTGCCACATAAGCCTATTGTTTTTTAGGAAGGCTCTACCAATTTCAACTGCCAACAAAAGTGTATGGGGATATCTTTCCCATCATCATTTTTTAAAGTTTATTTCTTTTGCAATTTTCATGAGATTGACATTTTAATATGCCTATTAGCCATTTATATTTCTACTCCTAGCCACCCTCTTTATTTCTATAGCAAGTTTAAACAACTATTTTTAAAAGCAACTTTCAGTGATTGGAGACACACTGTGTACCAGCTATTATCCTAGAACTTTCTTTACATTACTTCTAATTGTAGCAAATATCTAGGTGGATAAACGTGACTTGTTATCTCAGTTTTATAAATGATGAAACTGCAGCTCAGAAAATTTAAGTAACTTGCCCAAAGTTATCCAACTGAAAAGTGTTTGAATCAGGATTCCTACCAAGACGGAACAACTCCAGAACTTGACAGGCTTCATCACTAGGCTCCTACAAGTGAAACGATGCAGCTCATTCCATGGAAAACACACACACACACAACAGAGCAACAAATCAGCCTAACCCTCAGCACCATGGTTCCCACTGAGTGAACATCATTCCCGATGTCTTTTTGTGTACATTATAGAGATAGTGGGATGGGGAGAGGCGTGGATGGATGGAAGGTGATGTACGACTGGACACATAGTCTAGTAGGTTGAGAAAAATCTATGAAAATGAAGGAGACAATGCATTTTTAAATAATACTTAACCTCTAACAGAACTTAATTTTATTTTTACAGTTTATCCTGCAAAAGAATTTAGTCTTTGCATAATCATGTTTTTGAATATTTTCTTTTGACGTTTCCCAGAACTGAAAGCAGAAAAAAAATGATCACATTTGTTTTCCTGTACATGTTTACAGTTTCTGGTTCTAACATTTGGCTCTCTAATCCATGTAGAGTTTATTTGGGCACACAGCGTGAGATACAAAGCTAACTTTATTTTTTTTTCTTCTAAAATACTGAATCGATTACCTAGAGACATCCAATGAATGATTCTTTTTTTTTT